CAACAACAACAACAACAATTGCAATACCAGGTGATAGCAGGGTCGCTGAGAAGGAACATAAAAAAAATCTCAAAATACCAGGACTTAAAAATTGAAATCCAATGATTATGGCACAAACCAGCAGTGGTAATTCCAGTGGTAATCAGCACACTGGGTGCTATTCCAAAAGCACTGGAATTACATTTAAAACAGTTAAAAATTGACAAAATCACCATCAGTCAGATGCAAAAAATCGCACTGCTTGGATCTGCACGCATATTACGAAAATACATTATGATATCCTAGGCCCCTGGGTAGGGTCCGACTAGTAACCAATGCCAAATCCAGCGAAACAACTGGCTGCTGTGATACAATTGTATAATAATAATATAAATATAGAAGCAATAAATACCTTATTAGGAGGATTTTCCACATAAGGATTTGAAATTCTCCTAGATACAATCTGTAAATAAAAAATAAAAAGTATAACAATAAGGAATAATTTAAAGATAAATAAAAGCATTTCTTACCAATCACTTGACACTGATATTTTGCCTATAAAATACTGAAGTTCTTTTTGTAGTACTTTTTAAAAGAAGTGCTTAAATCTTCCCTAAATTCCAGAGAATTTTAAGGTCCCTTTAAACTGATTTATTTTTATCAACACTTTTATTCATTTCATTTCAATTCATTTACTTTTATAAATATTTGCTTCATTATTACTTTATAATTATCTTAAATTAATAAGCATTACCCTTAAAGTGGTAAATACTTCTACTTATCAATTAATCAAATTTTTAGCAGCCTATTGTTTTAAGTTTACTTTTTTGTAAGGTAAAAAGAACACCATATGATTTTTCTTTTTTTTTCTTTCTCCTACCTTGGTTGCCTTCTAAAAGGAAGCTACTACTATTGCAAAGGTCTGCTTAATATAATATCTTTGCTAATAGTCTTTAGTCACCATGTTGTTACAATGGCTATTGCTAAGCTATGTAGTCCTAAAATGTGTCATCATGTGACTGCATAACTTAACGGTAGCAATCCTGGCACTCCCTTTTATCATCATTAAGTGAGGACTTCATTTACCTGCAATGTGAATCCCTCTCATTTAATGACTTTCTAACTTTAAATGGTCACTGCAGGTGTGGTCATACACTGAGGACTACCATTTGGTTCCCAACATGTATTTAGAATAAAGGAACATGAAAGAGTGCAGACAAGAGATCCACTTACAGTAAATCATAAAGACAGAAGGGTTTGTTCTTGTACATTTCAGTTTGTGTTTGAGACCTTTGACACCAATCTGAAAGATTGGTGTCAAATGTCTCAAAACTCATTATTTTCAAAAGAAAAAACAGTTCCCAAATAAATTGAATAAGGAAGGTGCTGGCATTCAAATGGAAAAGTGCCACGTGGTATGAGATAAATACCAAGATGATATTGGCAAAGTTCTATGGTGTTATAAATATTGTCTTTGTGACTGTCTGTGTATGATTATAAAGAGAACCCTCATGGCTTATTATCTTTGAACATTATATAGCCATTAGCAGAAAATAATTAATAGATCTGTCTAAAGAACAGTTATCTTCTTTAGTGTACTCTATCGTGCTCATTCCAGTCCTCGCAATGAGTTAGCCTGGCCCTGTAACTAGATACTTATTTGATCAGACTAGTCTCCTATGGATCATAGTTACTATCAAGACATAAACCCTATCTGGCAATTAATGGCTGGAGTTACACATTTTCCTAGGGAGAAACCAAGCTAATTTTTATTAATATGATGTATAAATGAAATTGATTTATGTATCATTAAGCAAGTATGCCTGTAGCTCTGTACTAAAACTGCTTTATGCCAAAGAATTGAATAATTTGATCCATCTCAATATAATGTTACAACCACTATGGCAGTAATGGCGAACCTTGTCGGCATCAAGTGCCAAAAAGGTCATGCGGGAACATCAAACACACATTGGGGCTATGCTCCAGAAAAGCCAAACCTCCGGGTTCTAGTGCGCCTGCAGACCCAATGATCAGCTGGTCAGCATGCACGCACAGGCCAGTTTTCAGCACTGCTGCACGTGCGAAGGGATAGCAGTCTAGAAAAGGCGAACCTCTGGGTTCTGGCATGTATCTGCATCCGACAATCAACTAGCCAGTGCGCATGTGCACACTGGTTTTCAGCACTGCTGCATAGGCAAAGGGTAGCTGATAATTGCATGTGCATGCGTGCCAGAAACTGTCACATGCACATGTGCCAGAAGACAAACAGGCAAGGCTAGGTGTGCAGGGTGACATAGCTTTGTGTGCCACTTTGGGCACATGTGCCATAGGTTAACCATCACAGTGCTATGGTTTAGTTTGTCATAATATCCAAGTTGGTTTTTTCCCTTCACTTCCCAATGAATGATCTTGGTCAAATTGGTACAAAAACAGAGCAACTATTTATGGAAATATATCTACAGCAGACCATGTCCAGGTGAAATATCCATTTCTGAGCATTTTAAAATATTTTTAGACATAGCTTATAACTCTTAGACCAAGTATGTTGATAGAATAACATAGATAATACATATCTATCACCTGAGCTTCTGAAGGAATGACTACATGGAAATGTAATATAATCAGTGAGTCACAAGCCTCCCAGGGAAGTAAGAAGTGGCAGCATGTAATAACTGATCTTGAAATAAACCCACAGACAATAGCCAGAAAGAGGACACAGAAAGGAAAAATCAATCACTTTCAAACAATTTGGATTTTATTGTTTCTTATGACATCAACAATTATGAATGAAAGCAATACAGATGATAAATGTTAAGGCCTAGCTTGTCAAGTATGGTCTACTGAAACACATTGGGCTGGATTGAAATGAACAGATAAACCTAACCCAAAAAAACCATTTATGGCCCAGTGCAGTATATAAATCCAGCTACTAAATACATCAGTTCCCAAATTTAAACGCAAGAACTTTCAACACTTGGAGATAACAGAAATTGAACATGTGATCTACCATCATTGTGCTTTCTAAAAAGCAGACAAAAATTGGGCAAATGAAAACAATTCTGTTAATTTTTTGGAAATTAGAAAATTGAGATTTGGGGGGAGGGAATAAGGATTTTTGCTCCCAATTACTTTAAGAAGTTTTTAAATTCAAAGGATTATTCAAAATGCATCTTATTTGACTAAAACACTCAATTCTCAAAAAAAGGTATCATCTAGAGAAGACGAGGATAGAAATAATTTCTGTTCATTCTCTTCAATATTATATTTCAGGTTTCATTTCATAGTATTTTGACAAGAAACTAAATAACTTTCAATAAAATGAGGTAAAATATGTTAAAATTTAAAATATAAAATATGCTATCATCATAAACTGCTTAGAGAGGGCTTGTAAAGCATTATGGAGAAGTATATAAGTCTAAGTACTATTGCTATTAGAAGTTAAATGCAATGAAGCAAAAGAGATCAAAAGAAATCTAAGTGTGTTACTGATTTATGGTTTGTCCCTGCAACAAACTATCAAAGATTTTTCTTATTATATGCTACAGACTTTAAAAAATGGAAATCTGGATAACTTTTCTATGTAGATTAGAAAATGAACGTAGGAGGGGAAACTATGTAAAACAAATGGTTTGGAAGCAAAATGTTTCATTTCCTGCAAATAGATGGGGAAGAAATGGAAGTAGTGATTGATTTTATTTACCTGGGCTCCAAAATCACCACAGATGGGGACTACAGTCAAGAAATTAAAAGATGCTTGCACCTGGGGTGGAAAGCTATGGCAAATCTAGACAGCATGCTAAAAAGCAGAAACATCACACTACCAACAAAAGTGCATATAGTCATGGCTATGGTTTTCCCAGTTGTAATGTATGGCTGTGAAAGTTGGACCATAATGAAGGCTGAGCGCCAAAGAATTAAGGCCTTTGAACTATGGTGCAGGAGAAGATTCATGTGAGTCCCTTGGACTGCAAGGCGGTCAAAGCAGTCAGTTCTAGAGAAAATCAACCCTGACTGATCTTTAGAAGGCCAGATCCTGAAGATGAAATTCAAATACTTTGGCTACCTAATGAGAAGGAAAGCTTCACTGGAGAAGAGCCTAATGCTGGGAATGATTGAGGGCAAAAGAAGAAGGGAAAAGCAGAGAATGAGGTGGCTGGATGGAGTGACAGAAGCAGTCAGTGTGAGCTTAAATGGACTCTGGGGGATGGTACAGGAAGGCCTGGAGGAACGTTGTCCATCAGATCACAATGGGTCAGACATGACTTTGTGACCAACAAGTTGCATTAGAACAGGTGTGTCAAACTTGATTTAACTGAGGGCCACATTAGGGTTGTGTTTGACCTTGGGGGGTGCAGGGGCCATGGCCACAGGGTGTGGCCACCTTGACATAATTCATGTCGCGGGTGCCTATGGGGGCTCAAGGGTTCTGCCAGTGAAAACGTGTGTGAAATTTTAACACACTGTTTTTATGTATTGTTTTCAATGCCACTCAAACTCACTTTTTGTGAGATGGGCAGCTATATAATGGAAATAAATAAGTAAGTAAGTAAATTGGGGGTCCTTCTGGACTTGCAGCTATAGCTGAAAGACATGTGAAAGCTGTGGCCAGGTGGGCCTAGTCTAGGTTCACATTGGCTATCCTTTGCTTAGGAATCTCTTGATACATGGTCTCCTAATGACAGAATAATTGCCATACAATCTACATAGAACACATGGAAGCTACTACTAGTTCAGAATGCCACAGCATGATGAATAATGGATGCCTGCTGGGTATCACTATAACAGCATAAACTACACTCATTGCCAGTTGGCTTTTGAGTACAATTAACCATGGTTATTAACCATGGATACTCCTCAGTTAATGACATTGAACAAAAGATCTACAAAATTACAGCTGGCCTAGCAGCCTCCTCTTATGAAGTTGCAGCATCTTTGATCACGTGATTGTGATTTGCCATTTTCCCTGCTGTCTTCCCACAAGTAAAGGCAATGGGGAAGCTGGCAGAGAAGGTTACAAGTCACTTGGATAAGTTTTTCTCACTCTGTAACAGCACTGCAGCCATTCCCCATGTATGCTAACTCCTTGCACTCCTTCCCATACTGTGCAGCAATCACCCCAAGTCCCACTGCACTCAGAATGCACAGCCCATCATTTATCCTAAGCAATCACTTACCTGCCCATTAGCCTGCTTTATGAGCTGCCTGAGATTTCCAACTTCCCGCCAGCTTTGCTATTGACTTTATTTGCTGGAAGCCAGCAGGAAATTGCAATGAGGTCCTCACTTACTGACCCAAAATCCTCTATAATGATAAGGATGTGCCAGGATGTGCCAGGATTGCCATCTTTAATCATGCTATCATGTGCCATTGCACTTAATTGAAATTTCAGTCCCAATTACTGAACTACCTACCCAGAGCCGTCTAAGATATTGATATATACCATCAAGTCATTTTTAATTTCTAGTAAGCATTTAAGATTTTTCTATGACAATCCATCTCCACTATATGGCACAAAGTCTGGATTCCTGAGGGACCACTTTTCTCCAATTGTTCTGTCCACCCAATACATTCTGGCAGAGTGGAAATGCCTCTTCCATTGAATGTTTCCATCTTGTGGAACAAGGATACAATACAATACAATACAATACAATACAATACAATACAATACAATACAATACAATACAATACAATACAATACAATACAATACAATAGCATATTGGAAGGGACCTTGGAGGTCTTCTAGTCCAACCCCCTGCCTAGGCAGGAAACCCTATACTGTTTCAGACAAATGGCTATCCAACATCTTCTTA